CCCCAAATACAGCTATTCTGTACTGTACACATTACCCTAGACAGCTTGCATAATCCACTTCAGCATGCCAATAGGCTACACTGAAGTAATGATGATATGACTGACTGAACACAGCCCCAGAATTTGGATTCTATTCCCAGCTCAGTTGTAGAAAGATTTGGCCAAACTGCAGCTGCTATTGCTTTTTTCAGCTTTCAAATAGCCCCTGTAATAATGATCTTGGGCTCAATAGTACAAAGTGACTTGAGACAAAATGAAGCTTTATGGCAAATTCAGAAGTTACTCTGCTAAGACTGCACCTCAGAATGAGCTCTTAGTTTTGGCTCATCTAAATTTGGATGTGCCCACAGTTCTGCTGCTATTCATCTACACTGCAGCAACTGATAATTCGTGAAGAACGTCTCATGAACCTTAGGCACAGCCATTTATTTACCTGCTATACAACCTGGCAGCAATTCTAAGCATCTCAAGGAAGCAGCATTCCATTTAAAATCTGGCCATACCAATGAGCGACTGTACAACACTGTATGCTTTGTGAAGAGTCAAATAAGGGCCCCAAACCCTTCTCAGACCACAAAGGATAAAGGTACTGCAGAACCAGCCCACCCCGTCTCTCAAAGGAAACTCCCAAGCCACCAATGAACTTACCAACAATACACAGGACAAGATACTATCACAGTGTCAAAAGAAGTCAAAAATTCCTGGCCCTTTTCAGAAGGCTTGGAAAGTAGTTGCTAAACATAAAATTATTCCCTACAATTTTGGGGGCTGCTCCCAGGTTTAATTACATTGCAATTTCATATTATGAGCACATAAGTATCTATATAGAGCACACCACAACCACTCTGGACTGCTCTACATTACTGAAAACAAAAAAACCTCTTACTGTCACATTGCCCAAGTGGCTTCTAAATATTTTAACATGTGAACAGTTATCTCTTGCATGTGTATTCAGCTTTGTGACCAAATGCTGAACAATTGCATAAACCCCCTTTTTTATTGCTGCACTCTAAAATACAGAAGCCCACTGCAATCCGAAGGAAGCACTGCAGCCAGCACTGTTACACAGTCATTAATCCAATCATTAAGGCAGTGTAGTGAAACTAACTATGTGCATGGTTAGCACAAAAGGAGATGAAAAACCCCAGACTGATGACTACGATTGGAAAGGTCAATATGAAATACAATACTGACAAAGGAATTAAGCACAAGGAATAAAGGACACGCAGAGCTTGTGCAGAACACTGCATCAGATAAGGAAGAAATATTTACAGGATTTAAATACTGCTCAAGACGACACCATCCAAGCTACTCAAAAGGATAAAAGAACTCCACTTCAAAATAAAACCTTTTTGTTCTGTCACTTCCCTACCCAGCAAGGATGAAGAAGGGGACACACCCACCAGGACAGAACAAATATGCTGTACTGAAACAACGGAATGCCATCAGCTGCTTCATGCAGCTTGTGTTTAAAACCATGTCCTCCCCACATACTGCCCTCCTCCAGGAAAACATCCTATCCACTTCTCCTCTAATTCACAGTAGCTTACTCCAACAGCATCACACCTAACAGAAGAGAACTTATTTTCCTCTGTTGGTAGTTATACAGAAATTGGGATTTTGAGAGGGGAAAACAAATGCCTGTATGCGTGGGAAGAAACAGGGAGGAAAAATTTAGACTGTACTTAAGAATAAATAACCCCCTCTGTTCTTAAGAACACCATTAACTTGAAGCCTTGATATCCCATCTAATGTTCTTCTATTACCCATACAGTAAATTAATGCCTTGAAGCTCATACTAATGGAAACATTTTTCATTTAGACGGGCAACTTTCTCATCCATGCATAACTTATTCTGAGTCTCTGAGTTCATTTAGTTTCCCCCCAGAGCTAAATTTATTAGAAGAATTATGCACACCAACCTGAGCCTCCCTCTGCCAGGTACTTGTCCTTTGCATAGATGACAGAATCCAGCATTGACTCAAAGAGGAGGAAATAACCCTGTTTATAGAAAAGAGAAAATTTAGAAACCATTATGGTTTTATGTAGCCTAATTATTCAATCTACAGACAGACTTTATCAACACAGTTTAAGAACTTTATATGCCCATACAAGAGGAAAATATATTAAATTTCTATGGCCTCAATGAGAAAAGTCAGCATCCAGTGAATTTCTCAGCAGCACTGTCACTTCAAAACTTCAGTTACATAGAGTATCTTCTTCAATTTCCCAAACTGTAAAGATCTAGCGCCTACTGAATTAATGAGCTACAGGCAAATATCGAATCTACACCAACAATTACTTGATAAGAGTCATACAACATCAAAAGAAATCAAATTCACCTCAAACCAAGTGAGTGAAAAGTTGTATGTATGGATTTTTTGGTAATAACAGAGGTGCCATACAAAAACAAAAGAAAAAAAGACCAAGAAAATAGCCTCCCACTTAAGACTGCAAGTAACATGACCATTGTCAGAGAAACACCAAATGGTGTTTGCATCTTTACTACTTCACATCTGCAAGCCTGTGATGCCTCACATCAGTTTGGGCAAGGCTCACTAAAGTGGAAATAAATCACATACCACAAACATGGGTTCTCTGGAGGTTCTATGTGATTTAGCAGAAAAAACTCAGGATAAAAATGGTTAGAACTAGATTTGCATAGTTTTTTTTGGTGTTTAGATTAACTTTGTAGCAGGTTAATCATATTGCTATAGATGTTCAGAATAATTTCTTGAAAACTCAATTGAGTCAGTCATTTTCTGAAACAGAAAAAGATTTCTTCAGTAACTCAGATATAAAAACATAGCAGCATTACATACAATTAGCATTTTATAGAAAACATCTAGTTTCCCAACTACTTTTATCTAAACTGCAGATTTCTATGAGATCTATAAGCCTTTGCTTTCCACGTGATTTACTGATTTTACATCCTTCCTGTCTTCCAAGTTGGAGTATGACCATTATTGTTACTGAATACTGCAACACATTTGACTCATATATACACATCCTTAGAACATTAAATCAATTAAGACAAATCATACCAGCATACATTTTGGATTTTCACTTAGTGCCCTAGGTCTCACTTTGCTTAAAACACAGCTTAGCCATATGGCTTGATTTATACCCTGACTGCCAGTAGGAAAGAACAAAAAAGACAACTAGAGGTCCAGGCTTTGGACTTGCAGTCCTGGAGGTCCGCCCTGTCAGCAGTCCTACAAGTCCAGTCAGCAGTAACCAAAGCTAAGAAGACTTTTGCCTTGGTCTTTCCTACACTTCCATTTTTGTACATCATATGGATTTATTTTTACTTTCAAAGGCATCACACCACACTCCCAGAGACAGACAGTGTTGCATGGGAACTGCACTGCTGAGACTACCAAGTTTACTACAAGTTTATGCCATCTTGGATGTTTATTTTGCCTGAGGCTTTTAGAAAAATGAATCCTGCAAGTTCAGAACTCATTATAAACATCACCATGCACACTACAACCTTCAGAACTAAAAAAAAAAAAAAGGCAGAAAACTAGAAACTTGAAGCTTGACTTATATTCAACAGGAACATAGTTTGGAAATAATGGAAATGCCCTTTTTCTACTATTTCTTCTGGTAACATGAGTGTGCTCTGCTGGACACTGTTCTTCCAAATGTTGCTTGTCCTTTCAGTATACTGCCCAACTTTACAAAGTCCTCAAAATAAGTCTGAAAACAAAGATTACTGCTTTGTAAGCAGTATGATCTTTAGTAAGCTTTGCAAGACAGCTGAAAAGGCCAGGAGCTCCAATTGCATCAGGCAGAGATGATTTTATGCCTACTGCAAGCCAAAAGCACAGAATGGTTTTTTTTTTTTTCTTTCTTACTCTTGCAAATTTAAAAATAGAATATATGTTTAGTTCATTTAAATTCTTTTCAGATGCTTTTAACAGAAAATGAGCTGTTTTCACAGTTTACCTCTAGGACATATCTTCAGACTAGTTCCTTGCAAGAGTCAGCAAGTTCAAGTGACATTTTTACAGATCAGCTCTCCACTTATTTCTTCCTACCTAAAACACTCATCACCTACATCTGCCAAACAAACAAGTAGTACAGCTGGGAGACACTTTCTCATGAGAAATACAGTGAAAATCTCTCTGCCCTTTTCCTGACCTTTCCACTATGGCATCATGTGTTCTTCCCCTGCTCCCAGTTCCATCTTCCCCCCCAATTCATTATAGCATTCCTGTAAGTTACATAAACTGTCAATGGTACTGAATCAAGTAATTTATAACCTACACCAAAACGTTTTGCTCAGTGTGCTGTGCTCATCTGTGGTGTAATTCAGGATGTAATTTCACAGGCTGCTGCCTCACCTGTAGGGGTGCGTCTGGAAGGAGAATTACACCTGATGTCTTCTCCCCATGATGCTCTGGGGCACTCTGACATCCACCCCAATAATGGGCAGGGGTTTGTTTTTTTTTAAGCATGCATTAGCATCTTCAAAATTAATTACTGCAGAGAGATCTCCAGGATACAAATCTGTGAGCTGCATATTAATAATTCAATCCTAGTGACTAAACCAAGACACAGAAAAGAGAAGCTGGACATTTCTTTCTCAAAAGGAACTTGGAGTTCCTCATTTTTATATTTTCAAAGCTGAAACAAAATACCTGTTCTCCAGCTTACAGCAAAAACACATGTAAACAGACTGGGATAGGTGCAGGAATACACAGCACTATGGAGTTATTCCACTCCAGCATATCTATGTCCTATGTAACATCTGTCCAGGAAGTCAGCTATCAAAAATGCATGAGTCCACTCACAAATTTGAATTTGGGGGCACGTGACTATTATTACATTTCTTATATATCCTTTACATCTGTACTTGGTGTTTCTAACAGACCTACACAATGCTCCAAAAATTTTGATGCCTTAATACCCTGTATTGTTATTTTTTTCTCTATTGTTCATATAAACTACAGCACTCTAGTATTTATTTTCATTTTAATCCAAAGCAACAAAACAATGTTTTGCCAATCAATCTCAATATTAACTACAGGAAGTTTTTAACATTAGTGCCTCAGTATTTCTGATGACATTCTCCATGGTGAAAAAGATATTAAGCTCTTTAAAATCATCAAGACAAGAACACCACCAAGTTCTGAAGGATACCTCATTATGTGGAGAACACTAACAAAAAATGCTTTGTCTAAAACAGAAATTACTTCAGAGTGAAAAAGCCTCTTCATGTACTTGTCCCTTACCCATTTCTACCAAAACCCTAGTGGAACTGGGTTTTGCCTTCACTTTCTGCTTGGTGGTGAAAGTCATATATAGTTCAAAAAGTAGCATTAACTTGTTTAAAATAGCAAAAATTAGTAGAATTTTGTGTACAACAACAAAAATTAAGGATAGATTCAAAAAGAAATCTTTAACTAGATCAACAGCTGAAGTGTCATGTTCCCCCCCCCCTTCTAGCAAAGGTCCATTCTATTGCTTTCTGCAACATAACTGAACCTGCTCTGGTACCCCAGGTTCACTGAAGCTGAACACAGACTAGTTAATGAGATTAAAGGCAACTATATAATCACTAGCCCAGAGTGTGGAGGTTTTTTTAAGCCCTGACAGTATAAAAAAGAGCATTATTTTCTTGAACTTAAGTTTCTAACTACAAGGTCTCCATGAGACTACAGAGTAAAACAAGTTACAGAGGGTATGTGAACAGATTGGACAATGGGTTCTGATTTAAAACAAAATCTTGCACTAACAGGTGGGCAAAACTGATACAGCCCACTCAGTTTTGTGAAAAAACACTTTACTTGACAATACCCCCCACAAACCTGTAGCACACTTAAATGAGAAGCAGCAACTACACATCAAGTCTTCTACGTGCTCTGCTGCAGCACCATTGTCCTTACGCTGAGTGAGCCTTCATGCTGATCTCTCATGTATGATTTAATTTAAAAAAAGGAAACAATTCATTACCAGCAGAGCAAGCCCACACATTCCAAAATCACAGCTTGACTTTGTTATTATGCACACCCTGTTGTGGTTGTAAACAATGAGTGAGAACACCACATGAGAAGATCTGGAAAGCAGAAAAGTGATACCCATTACTGGTGTTGGGGAAAAAAAATCAAAATATTTTCATGCAGGGAAATACAATTACTTTATAAAAACCATTTTTCTGTAAAAAAATTAAAGATTTCAGCTACTTAGTATGCACTTGGCCCATCAGTATTAAAAACACAAAACCCATCAATTCTTATGTACAATTATATATTATTCCTGTTATAGAAATAGAACACTTGTATTAAAGCACCTCCAAATACTAACAGAAACAGCAGAGAATATTAAGACTACAAAAAGTCTAGAAAATATTAAAGAAGTGCCATCACTGCATATGCATCATAGAAATAGGGGAAAGGAGGAAGGAGAGAAAAGATGGCTTCCAGCGTTTCAGACATGGTCGCTTCCTAGTCCTTTTCCCTAGATCCTTAATACCTCCCTTTCACAGCTCATCCTGGTATCAGTTGCAATTATTTAATGTTAAAAAAAGGAAAAAAAAAAGGGTACTACCTACTCAAATAATGATACTATTAAAAGAAAGAGTACTGGATTCTATCCTTGGTTTATTTTGAGAGAGCATCTCCTTCCTGTTTTTTTCCTTGTGTAGAGCTCCACTGCATATTCACTATCATAAAGCACTGCATAAAGAAGCAATTTATGAGGACACACTGTACTCTGAGCATGAAAGAACCATCTCAGACAATTGTCTCTCACAGAAAAAATCCTTACAAACAAGAAAAGCAGATATTTTCCAAGTGAGTAAAAAAGCACCAACGATTTTACAATTACACCACCAAAACCCCCATGCAGTAACACAGCCACCTTTAGATGTCTGCAGCCATCTTTCCCTGCCAAGCTTTCCATTTCACCAAAAACTAGCTTCAGCACTCGGCACAGCAGCTCTCATTTCCCACTTACATGCCAGATGTAAAACTACCCTAACTACAGCAAAACAGCATTTCTTAAAATTTGGTATCTCTGGGGAGAGTGCCCAAATACCATCCTGACTGAGCACAAGGCTTTCATTCTTACAAGGCCTTTCCCACCACCCGTGCAAAGAGCACCACATTCAAGTCAAAACTGCAACCTTCTGATGAAATTTCTGCATTTGCAAGCCACTTTCAGGTCAACTTGTGACAAAGGTTTCCATCCATACACAACAGTGCACAGGAATCGCTCAGGTGTGTTCAGAAATCATTTGCATCAGGCAGTGGGTACAGATACTCCATCAGCTGCACCCTGCCTTACAAACCTGTGGAGGTGTTCCTGGTCAGCCACATCTAGCTGACCCTGCTTTGGCAGGAGGGGTGGACTAGATCATCTCCAGAGGTCCCTTCTAAACCCGTTCTGTGATTCCATGAAAAAGAAGTTCTAGTTTCACAAAGGCTTTCATGCTTCAGAGCTCCAGGCAACCAACCAAAATGGTGCATCAGAAGCTTACAGTCTAAATAAATGGCTTTATCCAGGTCTTCAGTAGTCCAACAGGCCCTCAGCCTTCAGCAATTTGCCCTTTGGACACCAAGAGAACAGCTCATCACACCTTCGATTGCCTTTAACAGTGACTTACATGCTGGTTTTAGTCACACGGAGGCCCTGCTTATGGTCTGATTTTAACTGTGCCAAACACCTTCAGATGTCACAAACAGTGCCTTGAGTTTTTATATTAAAAGCATTATCAATGCTAATTTCCTTCATAGGCTTAAATAAAGCCACTGAAGAGACAGTTGCTCATCATTCAGCCTGTAAATCTGCAACATGACAAAATATATCCAGACGAATTTAAAACTGCAAAGTATTATTTTGGAAGATACCAAATATACATTTGAAATATAATTTGGCTATATGTATATATATGCACCCACCTTTACCTGCTGTGTAACATTTAAGACACTTCTCCAATTTTTGCATATTTTGAGGGAACAAATTTTAAAATGAAAGAGAAGTAGGACAGCAAGGAGTCTGTGGAAGCCATATGTCACTTATGTGATTAAGACAATGATCACCATAAACCACTCCCTTGGAGATGCTGATAATGCAACACTACCTTTCACAAGACACTGTTCTATGTGCCCTCTCTCAGCCAGCCTGGTCTACAAACATTCCTGAGGGATGCAGCATTTTTCCTCTCTGTTGCCTCCATCCTATTGCTTCACGTTTGTTTTTAATTTTCTTATTCTCCAAACAGTTCTAAAAAAGCTGACAGTGTATTGGTCTTAAGCACTGTTCCATACCAAGCAAAACAATGTTATGGCTCCACAAAAAAAATAGTTTGATGTTTACTAGTCTAAAAGCAGTCTGTTTTCTAAAATGAACAGCAACTTCTCATTTTTGTGAGAATGAAAAAACACTGTTTCCATTAAAATTTTCCTGCTAGTCCATACAGACTCAAAATAAAAAAGCTGGAAACTGACAAATACTGAATTGCTTTTTGCTCTCATGCTTGACATCTCCAACATTTTTAAGCAGCCACGTTCATTAACAAAAGAATTCACACTGGTCAGTATCATGTAGGGAAGGAAAAGATAAAGCAAATTCACACAAGCAAGCCAGACAAAGAGGCATCTTCTTCTGCATCTAAGCAACATAATGTTCCCTTCTGGACAGCACTGGAACCCCACACACACTGCCCAGCTATCAATCTTACTTCTACAGCATTGTCTTCTTTATCTCTGTATTGCAGCAACCTATAAAACTGCTAGCCTCCTGAAATATTTCCAATACCTAATTAAGTGAAATGCACATGGCTATATAATTATGACATTAAAAGGTGAATTAGCACACAAATGGGAAATATGGAACATTGAATACTTCATTTCTTACAAGAGCTGCTTTTCAAAATCCTTTACTTCACCTTAAAGGCACTGATTTACAACAAGACTTGAGCTCTTAAGTGCCCAAGTTCCTTTTAAAACCAACCCTGGGCTCCAGAATGAGGAATGTGATTTTGGGAACATTATTCTTGGTGCACATATTAGGCAGCTGATCAGAAGAGTCCCTGAAAGAACTGTAATTATATTTCTAGTGAAGTCACTATGCTGCCAGAAATCATCAACCATAACAGACTATTTTTAAACCACCAGTTTAAGCCAATGGCTTCAATCTTTCCCAAAACAAGCAACCTCAACACTAAATTAAGCTCAATGCTTCAAACAATGCTCATGATAGCAGTGGAGGAACAACTTTTGCAGTTTTCCAGCTCATTGAAATATGCAATATAAAAACCTAAAATCCACAGAAAACCCAAAACTATTTATTTCCATTACCTGGAAACTAGTTATATATATATATATATATATGGATCCACAGTGAGCACATGACTTCTCTCCCTAAGGCCCATGTATATAGTAGAACAGCCACAGTTTCTAGAAAAAAAAAAAAACA